CCCCCGATCTCAAGGGACCCTTGATCCTGAGGGATCCCCAATCCCAGGGAACACCAACCCCGTGGGATCCCGCAATCCCAAGGAACCCTGACCCCGAGGAACCCCAGATCCTGAGGGACCCCAGTCCTAAGAGACCCCCAGTCCAGAGGGGCCCTGATCCCAAAGGACTCCCAATCTTAATGGACCCCAGTCTCGAGGGAACTCCCCCAATGCCGAGAGACCCCAAGGGATTCCCAGGGGATGGGGCGGGTCAGGACCCCCGGCTCCTCCCAGGGGGCTCAGCCCATCCCGGGGGGTCGCGGTGGGGATGCGGTGGCTGGGTGGGGACCCCCGTGTGCGGGATGGGGGGTTCCCGGGGTGCCTCACGCCGTGTCCCGCAGGCCAAGCAGGAGCAGGAGCAGGGCCCGGCGCTGTGCGGGCGGGTGTCGTTCCCGTGCCCCCCGGGGCAGGGCCAGGCGCACCGGCTGCTGCTCACCCCGGACCTGCTGCAGCACCTCCGACAGCACTTCGTCGCCTGAGGGTCCCCCGGAACGGGATGAGGGTCCCCTGCGCCCCCCCCGCCCCCCGGGGACCCCCCTGCGCCCCCCCCGGCCTCACTCGCGGGTGGAGCCGGAGCCGCTTCCCCCGGGGGGATCTGGGACCCCTCCCCGCTGCTCTCAGACACTACAGACCCCGGGACCCCCCCGGCCGGGGCCGGAGCCCCCCGCGCCCCCCCGTGCCCCCGGGCCGGGGCTGCGACCCCCCCGCGCTCCTGCTTTCCAATAAAATGCCCTGAACCTGAACCCGCCCGCGGACCCTGCGCCGGCACCGGGGGGGACACGGCGGGGACGGGGGTTCACGGCACACCGGGGGGCCCAGGGGGGGTCCGAGAAGGGCACTGGGGGTCCCGGGGTGGGAGCGGGGGACAGCGGGGGCTCCCAGCAGGGGCACTGGGGGGCACAGGGGAATACTGGGGGAACACGGAGGGGTCCGAGGGGGGCACTGGGGACCACGGGAGGGGACTGGGAGGGCACTGGGGGGCACAGGGAGACCCGGAGTGGGGCAGCTCTGGCTGTGCCGGGATGGGACCGGGGTCAGTTGGGTCCCGAGAGGGGGCACTGGGGACACACTTGGGATCACATCTGGGGTCCCGTTTAGGGTCCCGGGGTGACTCTGGGGACACATTTGGGGTCCCATTTGGGGGTCGCGGTCCCGCCACGTGCGGCCGCGCGCGCGTGGAACCGCGCGGGAAGGGGCGGGGCCGGCGCGGGCGGCGGCTCCCATTGGCCCACGCGCAGGAAAGGGCGGGATGAAACGCCTGTCCCCGAGTCTGATTGGCAGGAGCGGCAAAGGGAGGCGGGACCTCCCAGTCCTCAATCTGATTGGCTGCGCGGCGGATCCATCAGGGGACACCCCTGCGGTGATTGGCGGTGGGTCGGAGCGCGGGCGCTGATTGGGTGCGGTAGAAGGGGGCGGGGTTCCGGTGTGCGGCGGGGCGGCATTTCCTGGCGGCGGCGGCAGGAGGAGGAGGATGGTGAGGGCCGGGGGGGCCGCGCCGCATCCGGCGGCATCGGGGACGGGCGGGGACGGGGGGACGCACCGGGATGGCGGGGAGCGGGGCCGGGCCGGGGGGAGCGGGGCCGGGCCGGGGGGAGCGGCGGGCGCAGGGCGGGGGGGTGGGGGCGCGGCCCCGGCGGAGCCCCCGGTGAGCGCGGCCCCCGGTGCCTCCGCAGGTGCTGCTGCACGTGCTGTTCGAACATGCGGCCGGGTACGCGCTGTTCGCCGTGCGGGAGGTGGAGGAGATCGGGCTGCAGCTGCCGCAGGTACGGGGGGCGGGAGAGAGGGAACGGGGCGGGAACGGGGAGCGCGGGGAACGGGAACGGGGCGGGAAGCGGGGAACGGGAATGAGAACGGGAACAGGAGCGAGAAAAGGGGCGGGGAGGAACGGGAGCGGAGTTTAACGGGAGCGGTGTGTAACGGGAACGGTGTATAACGGGAACGGGCAGGGGGGGGCCGGGAACGGGAGGGAGTGGATCGGGATTGGGGGGACCCGCGGGGAGGAGCCGACCCCGGGCGGGAGGAGCGGTCCGTGTGCCCGGGGGGTCCGGTCCGTGTGCCCGGTGGGAGCGGTCCGTGTGCCCGGTGGGAGCGGGTCCGTGTGCCCGGAGGGTCGCACCCGGGGCGTTCCCACCTCCCGGATGACCCGGTGCCCGGCCCCCCCGGGCCCTGGCCGTGTCCCCCTGCCCAGGTGGAGGACAGCGTCCTCACCATCGGCAAGTTCCACAACATGGTGAAGCTCGTGGCGTTCTCGCCGTTCCGGTCGGCGCAGAGCGCCCTGGAGAACATGAACGCCGTGTCCGAGGGTGAGTTGGGGTCTGGGGGGGGGCACGGGGACCCTCCCGCGGCCCCCCCTGAGCCCCCGATGTCCCGCAGGGGTCCTGCACGAGGACCTGCGGCTGCTGCTGGACACGGCGCTGCCCCCCAAGAGGAAGAAGGTGGTGCTGGGGGTGGGCGACGCCAAGATGGGGGCGGCCGTGCAGGAGGAGCTGGGGGTGCAGTGCCAGACCGGGGGTGTCGTGGCTGAGCTCCTGCGGGGTGAGTGGGGATGGGGGACACCCCGGGGGGGGCCGGCGTGGGGCTGGGGGGGCCATCGGGGGTGTGTTGGGGGCTGGCCCTGGTTCTG